AACCATTCTATGATTCTATTCTATGATTCCTAGTTAATAAATCCACTGAATGTCTGTAAAGCATATGAAACATCGATGTTCACAGTAAAATATTTTTGTTTCCAAATTTGATCTATCACAGTACTGAAGTATGAGAATTTTAATTAAAAAAAAATACTAAATTTTTAAATATTGGAAGAAGAAAATGTTGTTAACCCACCACAAATGAAAACAATAAGCAGAGTTTAAATTCTAGGTCAATCAGAAGGATAGCAAAACCAATATACTACTGGTTTGCAATGAAAAAAAAATTACAGGTATCTGCAGGAAGTTGGTATTATTTTTCAAGCAGTATGTATGAAATGTTATCTGTGACTGGTAAGTGTCACTGCTTTGTCCATATAATTCCCAGACTGTAACGTACTACAAATCTTCTATTTCTTAACAAATTTTCAGTTTGCGACTTGAAACACTACATTGATATGTTGATCGTAATTCCAAGTTTTCAGAATTTTAATGATTTAATGATTCCTCACCTGATAATGTTTTAGTGTACCATTAATAAGAAGAGAAGACTGCTTTTCCACCCTTTCTGTGATCGCGTGAGCAACAGTGTAGTAGGACTGAGACCCTCTAGCACTATACTGCATGCTATATTCATCATCCACATCTTGTTTGGCTGTCCTGGAAAGTAGAAAAAGAACTAAAGTGAATTCCCACAAAAAAAAACCCAGTTTTTTTGACCACAGGTCACATACATACGCCTAAAGAAACAGTGCAAATCCCCAAACGTGGTGAGCACACCAAAGGGTGCAAGCTACTTTATAAGCAGTACACAATACCGAATGATCATGTTCCTTCTCCTGCAGATGTTCATGCCAGAGAAGCTACCATAATTCAATGAGCAAGCTACTCTTGGGAAACACCATTGTAAGAAATCAATTCCTATCAAAAAACAGCACCTAGAGAACACTCACTCAATGATTTGTTTTGCATCTTTCTCAGAAACTTCCTCACTGTTAGGATCCAGCAGTATCTTCTCCTCTGCTTCTAACCGGCTTGATTCTTCTTCATCATCCTACAGAACACAGAAAAAAACAGGGGTGCTAGGAGGTGCAACATCTTCCTAAGTCATACTTTCAACTGGCATTCACATATGAGGAGTTTTCGATATACATTAACCAACAGGAAGTCATGGCACTTTGAAATAAGAAGTATTTTTCCCTTTAATGATCTTATTTTTAAAAACCTTACTCTTGTCTACTGTGTTCATGGAGAGGATTTCAATGCCATGTATATGTTTACGTCATATTCTAGATGTGTGATAACTTAATAAAGCTTAAAAAGCTTAAAAAGCATTGCTGTTTTAGGCTTCTAGTATCTTAACCTTTTAAAAACAGACTACATTTTTACTCTATTTTAAAATAACTTGTCTCCTGGCTACAGTTGCAACAGATAACCAACAACTTAAAATCTCACTAATGAAGCTGAACAAAACACTGCTCTGAATTCTGCAAGTGTATTCTTCTACGAATGAGTTTCCCAGCTCTAAACAACACTGCTGCTAAAGGGTCTGTCCTAAAAACATGGGCACATCTCTTTTAACATTCCTTCTATCATTTGACAGGTATTAGGCCCTCCTCTCCTATCTTAATACTGAAAGTCTTGTAGAGTTACTTTAGTAGTAATTAGTCCTACAAAGGCATGTACCTGTAACATCATACAGTCCAGTCAGATTCAGTGGTCATTTGGTCTAGTATTGTAAAGACCGCTAGACTTAGGAGATCTGAATTCTATGCCTAGTTCTGCTACTAGCCTGTTGATTGAACATGGTCCTTCTCTACTCCTCCTTTCTCCTCTCCTTTAGAAAAATGGTCTGAAAAATGGTATGCAAGTTATCGGTATTTATTATTCCTAGTATCTAATACTACAACCCTGCAGGGTTGGGATCTTTGTGTGTGCAAATTTTAAGATTATTTTTGGAATTTTTGTAATAATAGTATTTAAATCACCATTAAAATACTGAATCAAATAAGTCTACCCTGAACAGTCAGAACCTAAATCCTTGACACAAACCCTAACTTTTTAAGAAACATAACATAAATAATAAATGTGTTATTTACAATTGCCAATAAAACCTCCAATGCACAAACATTAAAGATTTTAACTTCATTCAGCACAAAGCCACAATACAGCCTCTTCTGACACATATTTTAAAATAGGACCCTGCTTATATTTTCTGGTTTATGATTATTAATAGTCAGACTAAAATATTTACTTTTCTTAAGCCAAATTACCAGTTATGCATTTACAGCATATATAAAGGGCAACTGCTATAAACCAAAAAAGAATCACAAAACCAGTTACTTTCCCTGTTTGTATTATTCTTAAAACACCTACACACCTGCTATCACTTTCCCTTCCTTGTGACAAAGAGGAAAGCTCCACATGGAATAACGGTTTGTATTTTACTGTATTACTTGTCACAGTATTTTTTTTTTAAAGGCACATACCTCCTCTTCATACTCAGAGCCACTTTCATCTTCACTGTCTGACCTGGGAGCAACTTCATAGCTGTACAAAGATGACAGAAAGATTACGAATTAGAGATAACAAGAGGAGGGAATTAGGTTCAATACATCTCGTACTCAGTTTACACATAATAAATTAAAAGAGGAATAGAACAGAAAAGGTAAGAAGCCCATGAAAAATATCAACACAAATAGAAAAACCAGCCTACTTGTATGCTGCTTACCCAGGGTTCATTTCCAGCCAAGCATCCAGCTGACTTGCTTTTGGTGCTTCCGGTCCAAGAAGAACTTTGCCTGTTTCAGTGTGAGTCACTTTGACTGGAAGGTCACTCATCTGACTGCTCTCATCTATGGGCTAGAAATTCAAATGAAATTTTATACCGTAAGGCAAATGTATTTCATGTCTGTCATATGTAATAAAAAGAACTAATAGCGCCTTCAAAATTCCAGATCTGAACAAGCAGTGAGTTTAGTATCAGAAGACACATGGCTATGAAACAAACACTGAGTCACAGTATTTCTGCGTGTAACGTATTGATGTGACATCCACAAATGTATCACAGTATTCCAAATAAACTAACGAGAGCAGCAGGGAAAAGAATACACTGTTGGCTTCTGTGAAACAAGGTATGTATGCTTATAGGCATTTAATCCTGTTACTTATACCAATGGACATCTGTAACACAAAAAACCCATATATTGCCTGTATGACCTTTTCTCTTACGTGGAGAAACAAAGATGTAACAATCCAGCTATTTTTTTAAGTAAAGAAGGCCTGTTTTAAATATCCACTGTGCTTACTTCTTCAATTAAGCTGATAAAGCACCTGCAATAACAAAACCTTGTACTTATTCTTGTGCTCTAAGAAAATGAGAATAGCATAATTATTTTTTATGTTATTTCTTTGCAAAACTTTTTGCCTTCTACTACTGCTTCTACTGAAGAATCCTTACCTAACACATGTATATATATGAACAAGAAAAAATAATTCTGAACAGTTATAAATACACTGACTGACAGAGTATAAAACTCACCCCATTTACATAAATATTGAAGCTACAGGAATGTTATGTGCATTTTCATTGTGCAACTGTAACTATATTAAATGATTTTGCCATAACTCTTTATTAGCAAAAATATCACTTCCAAGTATAAAAAAGACCAAAAATATAACAATAAATACATTTCTAAAGTCTTTACATAAAATCAAAATGGAACAGAAAAATGGCATTAACAGAATAGCTCTTAATGAGGCAGCATATGCTCTGCTACTAAATTAAAAATATTATTCAAAGAATGACACAGAAAAATTACTCATTTCCATTTGCTTCTGAGGAAGAAAGAACTTTCAGCCATCATAATACTATAGTATGTCCTGTGTCTGAAAGGTAATTATATGCAATGTCAACAGTATATTTTTATAAAAATGAGAATCTATAATACATTGTGTTTACAATTTCATTTTAGAAAGTAAATTATGTCTACACAAGGACTGCAAGAAAGTCATTTACTTTAAGCATACAACAAAGCTGAGGGGGATTCTTCTGCATACTCAGTGACAGATTCAATATATTTTTCTTTTAGTCTTCCACTTGCTGAAGGGAAACAGGCTAGCATAAATGTTAATCTAGATAATTTTTATTCCTGGTTATAAACAACAGCTCTTCTCAGAACATTTGTGGTCCTGATTTTTTTTTTTTTAAGCTACAGCAGTGACACACAGAACAATCATTGGAAAGTTTTTTTTTAAAACAAAACAAAACAAAAAAAATACAGCTTGTAAAATTCATACCTCTCCATCAGGACCAAGACCAGATGCCATTCCTTCTGCGTTTTCTTCAGCCTTCTACAACAAATGGAAGTGAAAATTATCACGGTCAGATTACAAGTATGGAGAGAATATTTTATATGACGTAAGCGTTTTGGACCATCAATATGTTTCCCTCTATTTCTGAATAGCCTGGGATGCACACAATTTAAGATGTGGGTAGATATAGGTAGAGATAGGCACAGAGTTACTACCACACACATAAACCATTTACAAGTATGAAGAGGGTACCTACACCACCTTCAGTTACTGTAATAAATCTGCATTTAAGAAGTGGCTAGCCTACTGAATTTCTGGACCAGACCCAGAGCTCAGTTGCTTACAGACTGTGCTAATACACATAAAATAATAATTAATTTTCATGTGATTTACTACTGATTTCCTTTAAAGTGTTTTAATCTCAATTTCAGATGTGTTATCATGCATCGCAGATTGTATAATTGTGCAGGCACTTTTATTTTGGGTATGTACACATTTTTTTTTGGTCTGACAACTAACTAGAAGTGGTATTTTTGGAGTTCTTTGCACTGTATCTCAATTAAGTCTAGACCGCAATTACTCAAATTACGAAGAAAATCCAACCTTGACTCTTAGCTGGAGTAAGCTAGATTTTTTTTTCTCCCCAGGCCACTCCAAGAAATAATCAATCTGGCTAAGCTTAATCCTAGTCTAAAATCCTTATAATGCTCTTTAATACACAAAAAAATGACCAGAAGGAGAGGTTTATAAAGGCTGCACAAACGTCATTATGGTCCTGCTCAATGTGACAATAGTTGATGCTCAGTAAGAACAACATCAATTTGAGCTTGAAGGCTGCATCCTTGAGCATTCTTGTGCAGCAAGTTTGTCTGCTGATGAAGAAAGGAACTGTACCAGAATTGAAGACTTTAAACAAACGGAGGGGCAGGATAAGTTACGATAGCATATATCTGGCCTCGGCTGAACGAGCTACATTGACTGAGGATATTTCTTCCACGGATGAACAACAAGGGGAGGAGTCCATACTTTGCACATAAGACTGCTCTCTAATATATAAAGATTGTTATAGCTTAGCTACAGTCAATGGAAAAAAACTTACAACTCAAACACACCACTACAAATAAGCAATAAGCATCAGTGCTGTTCACTATGCAGAGATCTGATCCTGCTGTGAGAGCAGAAACATTTACAACCTATAGTTATAAATGATTTTGGAAAGAAGAAACATATGTTACAAAGGAGATAAATGTAAACAATGACAGATACTTCACACTTGTATTTTAGGCTATGCAAAGATGTCTTTAATCTTGACAATTTAATCCTTGGCAAGGAAATACTAATTTTACAAAAGCAGGAAGCTACATTTTCTTCATTCTCCATATAATGACGGGAAAAACTCATCATTAAATAAATGATAAAGATGAAAGGTTGCATAGCAAGTTAAACTGGCCTATCAGATGAAAATTTCATCTGGAGTTTTTTTGTTTTGTTTTGTTTTAATTCATGACCACAGTGAAGATGTGGGACACTAGCTGAACAGGAGGCTGGAGACAGAAGACATCGATACCAGAATGTGAAAAAAGCAAAGAGAGAAAATCTACCATAAAGATTTCCAAACTGTATTTCAGAGAAAAAACGGGCTATTCTGAAATTCTGTTCTTTTAAGAATATAGGGTTCACTTGGATATTATAAAGTGAGAGCCTGGCAAAGACAAGAAGTACTTCTTCACCACCTACTTCCTCACTGCCATTTCTAGGACAAAATTCTAACAACTCTCTTCTCTCATTTCTCTGTAAGGACAAAACATTTAACTACAGGTGTTAGTAGATTAAACTGTGTTTTACACGGATTACAAGACATAAAAGGCTAAGTATTAAAAGTGTATGATTCAGAAAAGGACACAGTGCCCACTAACTTCAATGAGTACTGCAGCCATGCAACAACAAATTCATAGAATTATAAATTAAAACAAAGGATAATATTTGCGCGCACTCCTCTATCCTTGACAGATGAGCAAAAGCTTGGTGGAACTTAATTGTAAACAAAAAGCTGCAGATGATCAAGACAGCTGAGATTTCTTTTCTGCTGATCTTCCTTTAGGTTTTAAGCTGTGATATTTATAAGCACTGAATATTTATGGGGCATATTTCCTTTCTACTTCGGTGACAGAAAATTGTTTTTACTGACATGCCCAGAAGACACCCTGTTCCTCACACATACTTCAGCTGAACTGACACAGAAATAGAACCATATCACAGGCGTGAATTGTTGAAGGACTAATATTTTTCATTACAGCAGTGCACTTACTTCACACACTATCTTATTAAGGATTATCTCTACTGTGAATTCTGTACATTAAATCAGATCTGTTCTCATTGGTAACATGGGTCACGAACCCCGTTTAAGTTACATCTTAACTTTGTGGGCGGGGATTGATTCCATGAACAACACACTCTCAACAAAAAGTACAGAGCTTTTGGAGAAAACATGGAGCGGTTTTTAGGCCATTAATCTCAAAAATTAGAATTTTTTATATTCTGGTATTTACTAGCTTATTTAGAGTGCTGCTTGTAAACCATGTAAACATAATGTTTATATTTGTATCAGTAATTAGTAGCAAACCAGGCATGGAAATGGATTATAAAAATCCTCTTATCCATCCTGCAAGAGATGAAAGGTACTCGGAGGTCACAAAATGACTAATCATTATTTAATGATTATTTTACACACAGAATTATTCTTTTCAAAAATAGCACTACTCAGTTTCCACAATGACTCTCTTTTACAGGGTAAAATATTGCATAACAAGAAAGGTTCACTTGAAAAGCTTCAATTAAATGTTAAGAATACACAACGAACAACATTACTGGCAGAATAAGTTCTTTTTCTCTAGGCATTTCCAATGGTCCTACAAAACGGACTGAGCCAAATGTAAAATGTGGAGGTCCAAAAAAGTTACCCTGTATGAAACTGGTATACAAACGAGACTTTTCCCATCTTATTCATACAATGTATTTTGGATCCATCGGATCCTTTTCCGGTACTTTAATCCTAATTTACATGTCTGCTTCAATTTTGCCTGTAGAAAGTTTATCAGCAAATCAATGTTAACAGCCCGCAATTTTCGAATCCTGCCTCCTTCTCATGTTCTTTGGAATTAATTCTAGCAAATTTCTCATATATTTCAGTGGAGAGAGATGAGTTCTCTCAGTGTTACGAATCTGGCAGTCACCCTGGCACGTGTATGACAACTGGTTATCATTACATTTATCAATATTAAAACTGGATTTCCAGGACAGATAGCCTAAAAACACCAGCTGTAACTACTGACCTTCTTTCTTCTCCTTCTCTTCTTCTTCTCTTTGGCTGCTTGTGCCTGTTTATGCTCCCATACCAGGTTAGTCAAGTTAGCCACATACTCATCTGTCTGCTGCAATAGGTAGGCCAGGCGTCTATCTTTCTTTTGGTCAATCAGCTTACGGTAGCCTTCTTCATCTTCAGCCTAGCAATACAAAATAGACCTCAGCCACAACAGAAATGCTTCCAAAGAAACATTTTCAAAGACATGAAGTGCAGTTGGCCAAACTCAGAGGAAGAACATGGGAGCTGGATGCAAACTCGCATTTAGTCCTTTTCCCAGTATGAATAAAAAACTTTTTCTTTTAGGTGTCAGAAGAAAATTTTCTTTGGGGCAGATTATCATCTTTCTATTCTGGTATTATTTCATCTTTGATACAGGTCACTACCAGAGACCAGATTCACAAACTAAGCCATATCTCTGAGTCATTCTGACAACTTCTGCATTCTTATGGATCTGCACAAGTGTGTTGTTAGGAGTAATACACACCAGAAAATACTATTTTCACATGCTGTGAAGACATAATGCAGCATTTGAGCACGTCAGAAAAATACAAGGAAAGCAGCAGGGATGCCTTTGTCAATTTTGGCTAAAATAACAAATAAATAAGTGTATAATGCCTTATAAAAAAAGACATACGAGTAAGAAATATTTTAAAGATGATTGTTTTAAAAGACAGCACTCTGGGAGATATAAAAACTCTCCTGCCTTTGTAGAGACACCAGAACTGCAGAAAGTTGGCAAGAACAGCTGTAACGTTCAAACTGAGCCTATAAAATTCAGTTGTAGTGTTCGAGCCATCAGAACTACAGCACTCAATACCCAAGTTCTAAGAATTTTTTATTATCATTATTACTGAATACACAGTCATTGTAATCAAGCCAAGGTACTTCCTTTACACATTCAAGGTTGTCTCGACAGCATGTTTTGAAATCATACCAATGCCCATTCCTGCATATGAGATATACTAATATTAACAAGCTGTGATACCATCACCACTTCTAATTGTAGCCAATGAAGGACAAACTGTGGAATTAATTCAACATTCCTGAAAAGATATGCAGAGAGTTTTATACACAGCACATTTTCCTAGACCACACTCAATATCTGAGAGGAGATGTTTGTAAAAGCCCCTAGTATGTATCTGCAAATTCAAAATTTATCACAACTAGACTAAAATTAAAGAGGCAAAATAAACCCACTAACATAGCACCCAGTTTGCTTTTGCAGAAGGATTTCATTGAGCAGGAGGGGAAAAGACAGAATTCTGAGTGCAAAGCCCCGAAGTGAAAATGCCTATGAAGTGCTTTATCTATCATAAGAGCTTAACCACAGCCTTGCTGAAGCAGTCTTAGGAGAAAGCACTGATATTCTGGAAGCACTGGTATCCTGCACCCTTTTTAGACATTCAAATCTACTTCATATTTTTCAGCAGTGGACATCTTTATTTTTTATTGTACTACACGTTAGACTGACATAAACTCAACCTCATGATGTACAAAAGTATTTCCAAAATATCAATATTATCTTCTTACTGATCAGCTCTTTTTTCTCTCTAATAAGTAACATTTCCATGAGCTTTGTTACACAGACTGCTGGCAATTTAATTATAAAAAAAGCTCTATAATGCAGATTACTATGTAATTTTAAGAAATGCTCTGGGGCCTAAACATTTGTTATTCTCTTATGCAAGTCCTTCATTTACATTTTACACACACTTTCGTTTATAAGTTTTTATAATTTTTATATTTATTTATTTCTACATTTTGTTTTGTGATTTTTTAAAAATCAAACTGTTCAGCCCTTATTCATGGCAGGAATAGATTCTGGACAGGGACTAGAGTTTTGTCTTACATCTGCACCCATATGAGATACTTACTGGTTTTTACTAGCATGTTTCAAAGAGAGCATGTCATTTCCCATTCAATTCTATGTTGATAAAGTGTTAATAAAGTGTTAAAAAAGAGCTAGCCCATGTTTTGAAGAAATTTTTTCAACCCCAGTTGCTAACATACTTGTACATACACACTAATCTGTCTACATTTTAGATTTCAGAATTATTTTAAGTCCTGAATTGTAGGCAGCCCACTGTTTGGTTCCACAGCGTTCTGAAAAGACACAGTTATACAGAAACCCATTCTACTCTGTCCTAAGAACGATATAACTGATATTGTGCATGTGCAAGGAAAGGAAAACTATGAAATAGTAAGGAGGAATATGTTCCTGGAGCATTAATGGGTAGAAGCATCTGCTATTAATTCTCAAGATACATACATTACTGCTTTTGGATACATATTTTTGCACGTGAAATCAGCTTTATGTAAAAGTTGCAGAGTAATGACATGAACAAGTAAATCACACAGAATCTTCAAAACTATAAACCTAGAAATATAACACAGTCCAGTATTTACATAATGGACCAATACTCCCGCAATTATGTAACAGCGTTATTATATAAAGTTAATGATTAAGTCTTAAGAGATTAAGTGATGTTATACACAAGTGGCTATGCTAAGTTTTCATGCTGGTAGAAAAAACAATTATTCTTATCAAAAACTGTAAAGAAAGAAGTAGTCATAGGTTAAAATGAACAGTGTCCCATTCACTACCATCATCAGAAAAACACATAATTAAACTGCAGCAGTTTTAGATTTACACCTTCTGCGTTACAGAGGCTTTATTCTGCAAAGGAAATACATGGGTGTGGCTGAGACTGCATATGAAACATTAAAAGGATACAGTATGTCATTTTAGCTAAAATAACCATATTCTTTCCTTTACTCCTTACCATTAGTCTCCTCATTCTTTCTTTCTCAATTCTCTCAGTTTCTTTTTTCTGCTCACGCTCAGTGTTGGCATGCCAAGTTGCCACAGCTTTAGAAAGTTTCTGAATTTTCCCAGCGACTGACCGGTGGTACTCTTTAAAATCTTTAGCATGCTGCAATATGCTATTCAGGTATTCCTAGAAAGAGAAACAAGTTAATGCAGACACTTGGGCAAAGCACAGGATTTGAAATCAGGAATACAGACGTCCTAATCTTATAATTTTCCAACTGCTTATCACACGGAGCTTTTTTAATCTTAGAAACTCCGAAGGTAAATAATATATGTAATAGAGAAGACGCTCACAGCAACACAAGGTGCCTTACTGTCATGGCACAAACAGCTCATAAGTTAAAATACCTGATGCTTCTGCCTACGCTTCCTCTCCTGTTCTATCTTCTGCTGTTTCTCCAGCTTTTCGGTCATACGGGCTTCCCTTAAAGTCTGGCGTTTGCTTCGTTTGTAGGCTTTGGAGTTCAATGCTGTCTCCAGTGTTGTGTCACGACGCATACAAGCTACTACCTCTTGTCTTAGCTACCAGTGGGGAAAAAAGAAGCTCTTTAAAAAAATATATTGTTTTTAATACATGGAGGAAAAACTTTAAACACTGGTATGGCAGAGTAAAACATTAACAGCCCACAAGACGCCCCTGCCTCATCTTCCCTTTCCATTACAGTTCTAAAAAGACCCAGCATCTATACAGTTGCAGCATCTATGTCTGTCTCCCTGAACAAATCTTAAGTCTCCACAGGATGGACAAAATTATTAATTGCTCTTAATCATCATTTCTTCCTTCTTTACAAGATGCTGCAAATGACCATCCTACTGCAATGAAAGGGGCTAGCCAAGATGTTATACCATCTAAGTAAAACATAAATGAACAACATAGATAACATACTTTCTAGAACTGGACCTGAACATAGCTTACAACTCATTTCATTGACAGCTGCACATGAGACAGCAGGGAGACATAAATGTTAAGGGCTTGGAACAGTATTGCCACAGTTCCAGCAGTACAGCAAGGAGAGCCTGCTGCTTTTCATCTGACCTCTGACAAAACTTCATTACAAAGGAGTGCCAAGGGTAGAGGGACGGAAAACTTGGACATCATGGCACAACTACTGCAAGGCTTCTGTCAGGAAGTATTTTTGCTTGACCTTCTACATCACATCTTTGTTCTTCCAAACTAGTTAGAAAGCCAATGGCAAGAGGCCCACAAGAGTCTGGCAGTGTGACTCCTTTTCTGAAATTCATTTGCTGATACATGCACTCAACATCCAACTCATATCTCAGGTATGATCTTGTTATGCTTGATTTTCAACGTCTGTGTGCCACAGACAGATCACAGAGAAATACTACATGCAACTCCTAAAACAGAAACCCATGAAAAATATGAAATATGTCCACAAAGAGGTGTCTATTGGGATTTGTGTTCAAAATCAGCTTGCAGCCTGTCCAGCTCTTGTTTTGTCTTTGTGCCAATGCCATGTTCATTATGAAAGACATAGTTCTACGGCTGCACTTCAGACTAGAAGACACAGCAGGAAGCAAAAAGAACACTTGCATATTTTTACTAACAAAACATAAACATTTCTGTGACGTGCTTATCAGTGAAGTCTGCTCTCATGCAAAATCTCCTGCTTAGGTTCAGTGATTCCGCAAAATCCCTTGCCAGTTTACTCATTGCTAAACGAATACATTTGGCTGTGACCTCTAAGAGAATTTTCATGAAGCAAAAGGCATTACCTGCCGCTGGAAATTCAGTAACCTAAGTGCCTTCAACTCCACCGTAGCTTTGGTTCGCAGATCAGGAGGCAGAGAACCAGGCAAGTTCTCCAGTTCCTGGATTCTGTGAGCAATTCGAGCCTGCAGCCTAAGTTAATAGAAAATTGGGTGAGACACCAGAAGAAATCTATAAGTGGCTATCAAAATCATACAGTAAAAACAGGCAATTTTTCTCAGGTATTTATTTGTCTTTTACTAACTGCTTCTGAACTAACATGTTTTTGCACAGATGACATTAGGTATTCTTTTCCACTTTGAAAATAAATTGCCAAATACTGAAAATACCCCTTGGTCCTTCTTTTGATTTTGACAAGTATATGTGTGAAAAGAAACTTAAGAATTTTGTTTTACTCATGCCCACAAGTCTATGGGGCCTGATGGTATCCACCTGAGGGTCCTGAGAGAGCTGGCGGATGTCACTGCCAAACCCCTGTCCATTATCTTTGGACAGTCTTGGCTCACTGGGGAAGTTCCGCTGGACTGGAGCCTGGCGGATGTTACCCCCATTTACAAAAAAGGGCGGAAGGAGGATCCGGGGAACTACAGGCCTGTCAGTCTGACCTCGGTGACGGGCAAAGTCATGGAACAGGTTATCTTGAGTGCTATTAATGAGCACATACAGGTTAACCGGGTGATCAGGCCCAGTCAACATGGGTTTATGAAAGGCAGGTCTTGCCAATCAAACCTGATCACCTTCTATGATGGGGTGACCCGCCTGGTTGACGAGGGAAGGGCTGTGGATGTAGTTTTCCTTGACCTCAGAAAAGCCTTTGATACAGTCTCTCATAGTGTTCTGGTTGCGAAACTGGTAACTGCTGGCCTGGATAGGCACACCCTCCTTTGGGTTAAAAACTGGCTGGATGGCCGGGCCCAAAGAGTGGTGGTAAATGGGGCTAAATCCGGCTGGAGGCCGGTCACCAGTGGGGTTCCCCAGGGCTCAGTGCTGGG